TGGAGCCTATGCAGTGAAGTCAAAGCATGTCTTGCAATGAGGGCGACAATCAAAGCACATTGGAGGAGTGAGATTGGATCTGAGCAATACACACAAACAGAATACCTTACGAAATAATGGAATTGAGATGAGCAAGGTGATACAGCCAGAATGAAATCAGCTTCATTTGGCTGGAGCTCATTGAAGTCTGCACAGAATAAGCAGGCTGTCTGCAAGAAGGTTGACATGAAGATGGCTGTGGTTTTACTTCATTTGGCTGGAGCTCATTGAAGTCCGCACAGAATAAGCAGGAAGGTTGACATGAAGATGGCTGTGGTTTTTGGACTAAACCCTCCCTGGATTCCAACAGCCTTGCATTTCTGGGAAAAGGTAGATCACCAGGACAAGTCCAGTTTCAAGGACTAAACTGAAACAAAGGATCAGTTACAGTGGTGCCTCGCATTACGACGTTAATTTGTTCCAGTGAAATCTCTGGAGAACGAAAATGTCGTAATGCGAAATAAAAAAGCCCATAGAAATGCATTTAAAAAACCTCATCGTCCAGTGAAGATCCTCCATAGTGCAGCCATTTCCGCTGCCCATGCAGCAAGGAATCCGTCCCAGAAAAGAGTGGGGAGCCATTTTTTTTAACCTGGTTGCCATTTTGAAACTGCTGATCAGCTGGCCGAAAATCGTCGTTTTGCGAGAATTGGTTCCCGAAGCAGGGAACCGATCATCGCAAAGCAAAATTCCCCCATTGAAACCATCAGCAACAGACATTTTTTCCTGCATCAGGGAGCAAGGGGGCTTGTTCGTCGTGATGCGATTTCGTCATTAAACGGGGCGCTCTTCTTGCGAGGCACCACTGTATTTGATATTTTAGCTGATTATGAAAAACAGCTGTGGTGAGCCAGTGTGGTGTAGAATGCCTTGTCCCTGGGCTCAGGAGATCTGGGCTCAAATCCCAGGCTGACCACAGAAATCCACTGGAGCTACTGCCTCCTTCTCTCTACTGCATGAATCCACCAGTGTTGTCCTCTTCTTCTTCTCAGTGGTGCCCTCTTCCCCTTGTTGCAACCTCCCCATACTCATCAGGTAGCTCTGTACATAATGTGCAGCCCCAGAGAGGCCTGAGGGTCAAGAGATTATAGAGAGAGTTGGCCAAAACATTTCCCCATCCCTAAGGATGTTCAAGGCCAGGTGTTATGTATAAAGCAGGCCAAGAAGCAGCTAAGCTGGGGAGATGGGGAGAGGAAGAGGAGAAATAAGCTACCTCTTTTCTTTCCTCATCAGGCTCGCCATGAATGTCTGGGTATGGCATCATAATAGTTGGAGGGGCAGCAACAGACATGTTTTCCTGCATCAGGGAGCAAGGGGGCTTGCACCTATATAGCTGCTGTCAGCAGAAACAAACTCAGGGTGCTACCATAATCCTTGTGCATGCCAACAATTCCCTTCCACAGTGCCTTGAATCAGTTGGCCATCTGGTCCTGACTAAAGTAGAGCTGGCCCTATTTAAATCTCTGTGTGAATGGATGCATGAGTTCACCCTGTTTCCTCTCTGCTTAATAGCTAACAAGACTGTCACGAACTGAACTATCTGGTCCTAAAGATAGGAATTCATTAAACTGTTTAAAGTAGGCTCTGCCCCATCAAAGCTGATGTTGGTGTGTTTGCTAGTCCTTTCAGAAATATTTATTGTGGACTTTGCTACCAGCTTCTTGTAATCAATCTGCTGATTGTATCAGAGATAGTTCTGATTTTGCTCATACTTAAAATATTTTAAAAATATCTTCACCATTGAAAAACCACAGCAATCCGAGCCAGTTGAGGTCATTGGTCACAGGTCGAAGTGATGTTCATTTCCAAATGGTGTAGCATAATACCTGTCTGTCACCAATTTATAACTGTAATCTCAAGTTTCTGCCCCTTTGTGTTCAGTCTTTTCTGTCCGAAATGGCAGTCCCATTCAGAGCAACGGTCTAAGGAAAAATCCCCACATGTCACTTGGCACAGGATTTAATATTCCGGCATAACACGACTGTTCATTTCTATTACAGGGGAGAATAATTGTTTTGATAATTGTTTGATAACATGTTATTTTCAGGTAATTTATTTCTACTTTTCCGCGTGGCAGATTCGCCGATGTCCCTGGAGCAAGAGCTGCTACAGGAGAAATGGAAAGCTTTGTATCACTTTGGAATTAATATTTATTTGGTTCCTTCACTTGCCAAGAACAAGAGAGTCTATGAATAATACATAGGCCCAAAAGATGCCAAGATAGAAGGCTTTATATTCTGAATGTCAGCAGGATCCAGAAAAGTTAAATCCGACGTAAGAAGCATCAGTGCTGGGAAAATCAGCCATGGCTCAGACAAATGGGAATTCAGGTTCAATTTAAGACCCTCAACTAGTTAAAAATTTGAAGACAGGGCTATTATTATCCTACCAAAAGATGAGGTGAGGGAAACCTAGGTGGAAAAAAAGCATTCAAAAGTGAAAGACACAAAAACAACAAACAAAGCAGCAACAACAACAAAAACCCTCAGCCAAAAAAAAAATCTCCCTGGAGGATTTGAAGATAGGTACGTGGTGGCGCTGTGGGCTAAACTGCAGAAGCCTGTGCTGCAGGGTCAGAAAATCTGGCAGTCGTAAGATCGAATCCACGCAACGGAATGAGCACCCATCACGCAGCAACAAAAACGCTCAGCCAAAAAAAATCTCCCTGGAGAATTTGAAGATGGGTATCTTGAATTTGAACCTATCACTGACTCCTAAGGGTAAACCGCTAGACTGACTGACTGACTGGCTGACTTATTTGTTTGTTTGTTTATGTGCTGCCTTTCTCTTAAAAGAACCAAGGTGGCTTACAATATTAAAAGAAAAAAAAAAGTTAAAAGCAAAATAATAAATTATTCCAATATTTAAAAAGCATTCAACAGATACATTAAAACTTATAATAAGAACAATATTAAAAACACAAATAAAACAAGAGAATCAAATAATCCCTTCAAAAAAATCCCCTTGGTCAGCCAGTCATTGAAAAACCTGTCTAAAGAGAAAGGTCTTTGTCTGCTTCTGGAAGGAGAGCAAAGATGGGGCCAGACTGGCCTCCTGTGGGAGGGAGTTCCAGAGTCTGGGAGCAGCCAGAGAGAAGGCCCTCTCCGATTTCCCCACCAATGTGCCTGTGAAGGTGGTGGGACCAAGAGAAAGGCCTCTCCTGGTGATCTTAATACTCAGGTAGGAACAATTGTTTAAATAGCTTGGACCCAAGCCATTCAGGGGAGTATAGGTTAAAACCAGCACTTTGAATTGTGCTCAGAAATGGATCGTCAACCAGTGTTACATGTTCCCTGTAACCAGCCTCAGTCAACCAGTGGAGCGGCTGTTATCAGGGGAGTTACATGTTCCCTGTAACCAGCCCCAGTTAACAATTGGGCTGCAGCATTTTGGACCATATGTTGGCAAACCATATGCCTCCCGGAAATGCGAAAGCAGAGCGTGAGTTCTTTAGCACCCTTTCTCTCTCAGCAGCCTATATATAGGGGTGTTTTTTTTTCTTTGTTATCGCATATCAGTCTTGACAGTGGAATTAGTACACTAATACAGCCATCAAGGAGAAGCAAGATAAAGGGTTGGAAGATGCAGATATTTCTTATCACCCATTATTGCGAAGGACTGGAGATGGTCAATAAGAGCTTAATAACATGTTCCTTTTTTACAGAGTCTCCGGACTAATAGACATGTCACCATTGTCTGAGCTGATACCTTTTCAATTGGCTTTGGCATTCTCATTGTTGTGCTTTTCTTAATGTGATCAAGAGAACCATTGCTTTCCAAGTCAATCATCTGTAAAACTCCTTGGACTCCCTGTATCGATGGCTGCCTGACAGATACTGTGACTCCAGCCAGACATTGTCGTGCTAAGGGAGGACCCATCAAAAGCAATAGGACTTAAGATCATTATGACTTGCTTGTGCTATTGCTTTTAAAGAGTCTCAACAGAGTCAGTGTGACTGTATCTGGAACCAGCCGGGCCTTTCAGCCCAAACTATGTCTACATCCTAGCAGACATGCATTGAAGGAAAATCCAAAGCCCTCCAGATGTTCTTGGACTTTGATGTGCCTCAGCCTTAGCCAATACTTCAAATGATCAGAGTTACCATTATTCAACAATATTTGGAGGGCTACAGCTCTTTCCCCAGCATTAAATGATGAGATACAAGTTAAGACAGCCCAGCACAGTGGTGCTTCGCTTAACGAGTGCCTCGCTCAATGATGAATCACTTCTCGTTGTTGTGCTTTTCTTAATGTGATCAAGAGAACCATTGCTTTATGAGTCAATTATCTGTAAAAACTCCTTGGACTCCCTCTATCAATGGCTGCCTGGCAGATACTGTGACTCCAGCCAGACATTGTCGTGCTAAGGGAGGACCCATCAAAAGCAACAGGACTTAAGATCATTATGACTTGCTTGTGCTATTGCTTTTAAAGAGTCTCAACAGAGTCAGTGTGACTGTATCTGGAACCAGCCGGGCCTTTCAGCCCAAACTATGTCTACATCCTAGCAGACAACCATTGAAGGAAAATCCAAAGCTCTCCAGATGTTCTTGGACTTTGATTTGCCTCAGCCTTAGCCAATATTCCAAATGATCAGAGTTACCATTATTCAACAATATTTGGAGGGCTACAGTTCTTTCCCCAGCATTAAATGATGAGATACGAGTTAAGACAGCCCAGTAATATAGTGTTTTCATGGGTATGTAATATTATAGAAATAGACCTGCAAGATGTTTATTGAAAGGCATGAAATCAAAGTTTCTTTCCCCAGCATTAAATGATGAGATACGAGTTAAGACAGCCCAGTAATAGTGTTTTCATGCATATGTAATATTATAGAAATAGACCTGCAGGATGTTTATTGAAAGGCATGAAATCAAAGTGTAAGAAAGCATACTGTGCAATGTTGTTGTCCATGATTATTGGGGAATTCAAAATACTTTTTTCTTGTATGCCTTTAGGATCTTAAGTGTCCTGACTGCAAAGCTGATGTTACAGTGAACTTGTCCTGAAATTGATACTGGATGGTACAGAACAATGCCAATGGTGATGATAATACAAAACTTCCATATATGCCAGACAAAAGGTACAGTCATAAGATAAACTCTGTGTTCATTTGAAACCACGTATTAGCACAATTAATAAATTACCCACTGTCATAAAAGGCAGAAATGCACTGTTAATTCCCCACCACTACCACCTTTAATTTAAGACTGATGAAGAAAGAAATCTAGGCTCCCCGGAATCCTACTACTTCAAAGGGACTAATTAAAATAAATGTTTATTTCATCTCTCTTGTAATTTATTTAGGAGGACCTCATAGTCTAAGGAAGACACCCATAGTTGCCACCCTGAACGATGAAGGCATGTCAACACACTAGGTGTGCATTTCAGTCCTAAATGTTACCATGAAGAGCTAGATTCCGTGAAACATTAAATTCACTCTAGAAGCAGGAATGATTCCCAAGAAGATATTTCAAAAGGAGAAATAAGATACCAGCAAATGATTGAACTTTAATATGTTGTCGGGGTTGGAAACTCTCTCTCTCTCTCTCTCTCTCTCTCTCTCTCTCTCTCTGTGTGTGTGTGTGTGTGTGTGTGTGGAATTGCAGACACAGTTCACTGTGGTTCAACAACTGCATGCTTTGTAACTGACTGCAAATCATGTTATGGTCATGGCAGATTTCTTTGATAAAATAAGAAATGGCCAGACCTTCTGGTTCTGAATTTGCACACTACAAGTGACACTTTGAAGTAAAGATTCTAGTAGATCCATTTAATCGGAAAGGAAAACCAGCCTTCAAAAGAAACACTTTGTGCTAAGATAGGAGCAATGAGGGGGTTTCATCACAACAGAATCAAAAAGGCACGAAGATGACAATGTACCTCTGATCCTCACTCTGGCAGAAAGAAGTTGAACACATGAACAAAGGTTGTGTGATAAGTCTCAAGTAGGGTTTTTGGACACCCTAAACAAATGTTTATGACCTATGGCTTGCTTTGCATACAGTTGTTGTTTGTATTAGTCATAGTCACACATCATCTAAACCAGGCGTGGGTGAACTCTCCAGATCTTTTGGATGAGAGTTAGCACAGTCCCTTTCTACTGATCATCTTGGAGTTTAAGATCAATGCGCCTCAAAAGTCAAATCTTCTGCACTGTTGAGCTTGATAGTAACAAGCAACGGTTTCTCCCCAAATGCTGTATGAGTTCAACTCCAATGCTTGGAGATTCTGGAAGCTATTATTTAACAACATCTGGACATCCAAGTTTGGTACCCAAGACGAACCTAGAGCGGAGATAGGCAAAGTTCACCTGAAGTTGTTGAGCTGTAATTCCAAACAGTTCCCTAGGATGGCATAGCCAATGGTGAGGAATGCTGTGAGTTGCAGTCTAACAGCTTCTGGAAGTTGCTGGACCTTACTTGTTCACCTGAATCTAAAGGATGTTCTCAATGATGATCTTAGGTTTTGAAAGTACAGAACTATGTACAGCTCCTAAAAGGTTTTTCTGAAAAAACCGTCTCAGACCACAGACGTTCGATTGACTTGTGCTAATGCTGGTCTGTTAAAGCAGAACTAGAAACTTTGAGGCCTCCAAATGTGTTTGACTATACACTCTGCAGTCCTTTACTATTGAACATAATGAATGGGGATGATGGGAGTTGTAGGCAAAAATACATGGAAAGCCAAACATTCCCAATCTCTGCATTAAAGCCACTATAAGAGCTTTTAGTCCATCTGCCCCAAAAGGCAATGCATAAAACTGACAATTGTTTCTGCATGGTCTGTAATAAACTTTTCCGCTTAGTAAGTCAAAGCATATCCATAATTAATATTTTATTTATTTTATTTTTCAGCACATAGTCAACATCTGCATTGCATTTTAAAATGCAGTGCCATATTATAAAAACTGTGGCACAGTTTGATCAACCCTTGTTTGATAATCTGGTCCTCATCAAAATATCTTTCATTTCCACTGTAGGGAAAAATGAATGAAACAAAGGGGCAAATACAAATATTCGAATCTGTTCTACAATCTTTCTGTAGACACAGGAATGCACTGAAACTTAAAAACCAGAACTTGAAAAGCACAGATATAATCTGAAACAAATAAAATGGTATCTTGCAGTTTTCCAGTTAGTCGTTCACAGATCTGAAACTTCTACTTTATACATAAGAAATTTGCTTGAGATGTCTGCTTGAAAGGCTTTGTTTTGTTTTTACAACATTTGCAGATTCGGCTAATGATATACTTTCCCTGAAGACTGAAGGAAGGTTAGAGGCACACAAGATCTTTGTCAGTGTTGCTGACACCATGGATAGCTTGTGACAATGGTATAGAGATCACCACCCAAATTTGGATGTGGAGTATCTTGTCCCAGACCATGAGCCATCCCAGGTGAGAATCTGCACAGCTGGACATCACTCAGTCCCATCACCACTACCGTTAGTGGAACCACCTAGTCTTTCAGCTTCTGAGCCTTTAGAAAAGGGATGTGCACATTTAAGTCTTTCTTCACAATTATTCAGAGGGCTAGAAACTTCAATTAAGGAACAATGAACAGAGTTCTGAGGCTTGTATGAAAGCTGATAGTAGGTGTGATCTATTTGCGCAGTGATGTGCATCAGCAAGTTTACGGCGCAACGCTCTTGGATATGAAGGATTGGCCAGCTGCACACTGATGCCAAGGGGATGCCCAAGTGTACATGCAATGCCTACTCTTTGAGGAGGCTCCTTCAATGTTATCTGAGTTGAGCAAGTCAAACATTTTGTACAAAACCCAAACGAATGGCTCCTTCAACTCTTTAATAACTGCTGGATGAGCAAACAAATTCCAAAGACATGGTGGAAGATGAAAGTAATCACTATATTGAAACCAGGCAAGGAACCATCAGATCCCAAAAGCTACATGCCAATCTCCCTACTATGCCATTTATACAAAAAGTTTGAATGAATGATATCAAACTACCTAGTTCCTAAAACTGAACCTCTTGTAATTCCAGAATAGGCAGGCTTTAGATCCAGCAAGAAAACAAATCTTAAATCTAACCCAATATATAGAAAATGGTTTCGAAACACATAAAATAATTAGAGCAGCATTTGTCAACCTTATGGTGGCATATCCTAATGTCCATTATCAATTGCTGGTCAAAAAGCTCTAGCTCTTTACTAAAAACCAAGGACTAACAGAAATGACCCCCATTCTACTTCAGAACTGAAGACTCTTCGCTGAATTTCAAGGGAGGCACAATCACTGGGGAGGTGACCAAAGGAATGGTCTCCCACAGAGTAGCATTCTGGCACCATTGCTTTTTAACATTTACACAAATGATCGATCAACATTCTCATACTCCAGAAGTTTCATCTATGCTGATGATCTTGCCTTGACCGTCCAGGGGAAATCTTGAGGCTATCAAGCATCAGCTAACCTCTGAATTATAAGACTTTCCTTTTATATATATAAATATATATTCTACAAAGGGACAAAGCTATTGTTCTTATCTGTGCACCCCAGTCTGACCCACCTATTTTCCTAAGTACTGTATGTTATTTCTGGTGGCAACTTTCCATTTGGTGTTTAGAAAATGTTCAAAAATCTTGCCTTCCAATCAAACTCAGATCTTCCTCTCTGCTTCTCTGTTAAGTGGAAGTCACAGGCCTGTGTTTTTAAAGGGTTTGGTTTCAGCTGGTTGGGTGTGTGGGTGTGTGTGTGTGCGTGTGCACGTGCACGTGCGTGTGCGTGCGCGCGCACACACACACACACACACACACACACACACACAGAGCTTGACAAGGTTTGTTATGCGACTTATACAATCCTGATTTGGCCTGCATTTCTTTCACATTTTGTTTATAGCCATGGCCAAAAAAAAGTTGAGAATGGCTGCCGTAGATGACGACTGAGACTGAGGAAGAGTATTCTGCATGCATCTAAATATTAAACTGGAAGAGGCTAGGCTAAACCTTTGGAGAACAAAAACAACACATCTTGCCAAATGGATGAATGCTGAAGATTGTCTCCCACCAGGACAAGACTCTAGCTGGACAATCTGGAAGTCACTTAATAGACTTTGAACTTTTTATAGCTACAGATCAGTAGCATACATTTTTCCTTATTGATGATGTCTTGACAGCATTTTCACAGAAATTTGTCTCCCAGAAATCAAGGGTATGGGGGGTGAACAGTTTGGGAAGCAATTTTGAATTCCCATTGGCATAGTGTTAGGATGATAGGAGTTGGAGTCCAACCCAGCTGGACGACACCAGGTTGCAAAGTCTGCTTTGTAGTAACGGGGGTGTTTTTCAAGAAACCTGATCAAACTGCAATCTTCTGTCCGTAGCAGAACAGAAAACATTATGTTTGTCTTAAACATTATACTGTCATCCAGTGGTCATTACAATGAACTACACAGCATGTCTATTTTACATTAATACTATTCAGGTGATAAACATCTAAATTCAGCA